AGCGTGATGGTGTCTGCTACCCTGCAGTACTTAACAACAGACAGACAGCATATAGCAGATAGCTGATCAAATAGCAGACAGCATACAGCAGATCAGACAGCTGCTCGATGTATGGGGAGCCGGTGCAGCGGCGTGACGGTGTCTGCTACCCTGCAGCAACAACAGACAGACAGATAGCTGATCAGATATCAGACAGCACACAGCATACAGCAGATATAGGACCAAAAATAGCAGATAACAGATAGCAGAACAGACAGCAGGTAACAGCACAGATAGCAGATAGCAGCACAGACAGCAGATATCAGCACAGATAGCAGGTATATACATAGAAATTTCAGTATAAGTATTATAGATATAACAATCACCATGCCCTCATGTTACGTTCGTTGAGATCACGCACGTTCTCCTGTCTCCTCTCAAACTCCGCCACAAGGCGGCGCCACTGCCGCACGTCGTCGGGCAGACGCTCGGGCGGTTCGCGTCTCTTCGGGACGCGGGCCGGCGCATTGCCATGGCGACCATCCTCCTCGTCCGTCCGCCGAAGCAGCGGGATCTTCAACGGCTGAAAGTCGTCGTTGGAGTAGCCGTCGGTGGCGCCCCCTGCCGCAGAGGACCGCGCAGAAGGTGCGTGCGGACGCCGATGCTGCGCTTCCCTCGCCCTGCGAGAAACAATGGAACGCATGTTCGCAGCGCAGGAATTCCTTTAATTACTTAAGTATTATAGTATATCCTGTTCACCCCTGGTCAGGGACTGGCAACATTTGAGCATGAGGACAGGGTGTTTTAATTTTTATGGTTTTCTCGATAGACTTTCCCTATATTGTGGAAATTAAATATTTGAAATCACTAATCGGGACTGGCCGAGTGTTTGGACATTTAATTATTTATCCAAGACCGACATGTTAGGTCGCACGTTATTTTATGGCCGAGTACGATAACGTGTCATTGTCTAGATTTGATAACACGACTATTCTATAACTTTTCTTTCTTATAGGCCTAACTTACTATAGACTATAGTCTATAGACTATACTATAGTTGCACCTGTTTGGTTTGCACACCCCCTGACCCTGTGTTAGCAAACAGGACGGCCGCCTGGCTATAAGGACATTATTAGGATTTCATTTGCGTGATGCTTACATACAGGGTTGACTATATGCATTTATTATTCATTGGACTACTGCATGACTAGTGTGCATGTGCTATCCGCATTCTGTCGTTCAATTTCATCACAAGAAGTTCACGATAAACTGCGTTAACTGACACGGGTCACGGGGCCACGGCACTACTAGCAGAATATACTCTATGATCTTGACGTACGCATACCGACTTGCTAGGCATCTTGTGAGTGTCTTCACAACCAACGTCTTTTGAGATCGCCCTCCGATAACAGTGATTCCAATTCTGCTACACAACGCTCTGTAGAAATGTAATTTACTGGGGGCTGCCATCTTTTCTTTCTCCGTAGACGGGTACTGCAGTCGTTTCAGTCACAACGCGCATCACGGATTAGTCTGGCTCCCACCCTGTACTGCTCTCGCTACTAGTAGCAGAGCTAGTAGTATAGAATGCGCCCAAGTAGAAGCATGCCACAAAACGAATGTGCCCTCCCCATAGAACTTCTATTCTATTTCTATGGCCCTCCCAGAGGTGTTAGGGAACAAGGGAACTGTTGATTCGATTTCTGGGAACAAGGGACCTCTGATTTTCCATATTTGTGATTATTTTTTACAATTTTCTGAGACTGTTTACAATAAACTTTGAAGTATTTAAGGGTCATTAATTTCAACATAGTGTGCTGTAGGGACCATTAGGGTCCACAATTATAGGTACCTTTTCACTCCATCCTTCCTCCTTCCTTCTTTAGTATACTACTATAGGTTCTACTGTAGGCCGGTCAGACAAATATGAGGAGCAGTGGTAATTAATTATTTTTGGGGATTAAGGGAACTGCGGGATCGTGGGAACACATGCAAGGTAAAGACATTTTAGGGAACAAGTTATTTTATTAATGTGAAACAAGAGAGAAAATGTGTGTGTACGTGTGTGTGTGTGTGTGTGTGTGTGTGTGTGTGTGTGTGTGTGTGTGTGTGTGTGTGTGTGTGACGCACTCACATGCCACACGCACACGCACACCTACACACAGTGACACACTCACACGACACGCACACCGGCCACCGACACACACGCACCACGCACACACGGCCTGCACACGCACACGCACTCGCACACACAGACCACTGACACGCACACTCACACGCACACTCACAACGCACACGCACATGCGCACGCACACAACAAGGACACACAAACACGCCGCACGCACGCACGCAATACGCAGTTATAACATAGTAGTTAGCTGTTGACCGAAATCATCAGCAACAAAATATGGGAAACTGGTCACACGACACACACCAGCCACGGACATAGCACGACGCGACTTCGCACACCACAAGCTCACACACGCACACACGGCACACGCAACACACGCACGCATACGCACACACACACACCATGGTTAAGGACACACAAACACGCACGTGGCAACACACTGTTGTTGAGAGAGATCTTCCTTCATGAAGCGAGAGCCGCCATCTGTCGCTGGAGTGTGCTACCGCACAACTAATAACAACACCGCGAACATCACACCTGGCCCAGCTCTCAACAACATCCGACGCCTGCAGCGCCACCGCGCGGATCGTCTGCTGGACCGGCGGATACCTTGCCACAACCACGCTGTGCTGACGATCCTGCAGCCGGATATACTGGCGAAGCGCCGCCAAACGGCGCACACCCCGCACGCACGCACAAAGGCGCGGACACGGACACATGGAACTGCACACACAAATCCACGGCTGCCCTAACATCACTAGAATAACTCTCTTCAACCGAGATGGCCGCCCGACTTCCCGTTGGCGAATAGCCACACTCGAACTAACGCCCAGCATCACACGCACAACGCACAAGCACTATCTCACACACTAGTTAAAATCGGCATCACCAACTCTATGACCGCATGACCACGTTCCAACACATGGCCACACCATGGCAAGAAGCCTTGGTCTGAGCACCACATACACAACACCTAGCCACGCCACACGCACACGCAGTCAATAAACTTCGCACACACAAATGGCGTCACTTTACTGTTACTTTCTAATCCGCGCCGCCACACTCAAGGACACCAATACTATCGCAGTCTAGCGCATCTATCTTCCACGCTATAACAACGCACAGTCATCTCACTCACATCAGACGCACAGCCACTAACAGCCTCATCACAGCACGCCCCACACACAAGGATGTTAACTATCTCACGCTAACACGGTATCGCCGCCAACTATAACAGCTGGACGCCGCCACGCACGCGCACAGCTCACTATCTTCGACCACCGCATCTATCGACCAATCAGTAGAGTTAAAATCCGCGTTTAGACTGCCGCCGCTGGCGAAATGATGCAGAACAAAATAGTAATGAGTTTCACACGAGACTCTTGAACGTAGGAACCTCTACACCGGACGTATAATCGTCTCACCAAAGCAGTATCTCCTGCTATTTCACCCGACCCCAAAAAGCTCCCACTTGAACATTCGACGATGATGATCAATAACCGTCCGTACCAGTCTAACTGGAATCGTGACGTCCAACGTTCATTATCTTAGCCTATGTTCACGCTATCTACACCTTATAGTGATATCGCTCTTGACCCACGCGCTCGCGATGCTATACCTCTCTTTAGCCGGTACTCTCGAGTAGCGGTTTTGCACGTTACCATCATTACATTACATTACTCATTTTACTCAGTACATTCTGATCTTGACCACCTACGCCACTTATTAAGCCCTCTCATCAACCGAGTCCATCTCCCTGTGCGCAACTCTTTATGCATTCGTACAGCACACACTGATGATCAGTTTGTTATAGTACTCGGCAGCAACTTACCGCTCCAAAGCGAGACACATTAATAGACTTTCTTCGGTATTACTATTCCATACACTCGCGTACGGCTGCACAGAATAATAATATCTTGAATTAGATCTTATACAGAGTGTACACAATGTCCTAATAACTTATACTACCTTACACAGTAAGCGTTTACTACTTTGCACGGTACCTAGCTCAGTAGTCTAGTACTCACTAACTTTACCATCACTTTATCTTGACGATAACGAGGAAAATACTTTAAATAGTAAGCCTAACCAGGATCATTAGGTCTGAATAGCAATAAGGCGAGTATAATGACTAACTCTGTTACTAGGATTAACTTACTAATAATGACGAACCCTAGGAGCACATAATCTCCAACCTATTATATTGATATAATATTTATATTTATATTGAGGTAAATGACATTGGTATTTATGCCCATGCCTACATTGGCCCATATGAAGATTGGGAGCCATGGTCTCTATCCTTGAACCACGACGTACTACTAGACTACTACGACTAGCAAGAACGCTCTTTCTAGGGTTAGAATACCCTAGGCTATACTAGACACAGCACTTGAAGCGTCTCAATACCATATAATGCCTAACTAAGATACGAAACTCTTTTACTACGAAATTGGTAATGTTTCAGTATAGCGCCTACTCTCTTTCCAAGAAGGTTTGCGAGGTGCAAGGCTATATATAGACTAGGACTCGTCCCACCTCGATTAGCCATTGACGTACTAGCTAAGCCGTAGAGGTCCAGGGAGAGTGCCAGTCTATGCGGTATATAGGACCCGGGCAGCGGTCGCACTGCTTATCCAAACTCCCGTACGAGCCTGCGCCATTGGAACGTGCAAAAAGCGTTGAGCTTGCTGGGGCGTCGAAGAGCGCCGGTAGGTGTTTCCTGATTTTGACAGCGCGGTTTCCATTACCCTGGCGCCAAGCGTTACGCGAATGGCAGAATTCGCAGTCTTTTCTGTGATTCGCGTGACACCAGCTCGGTTCTACGAACAGAACTCGGTGAACACTTTTATAACACAACGTCAACACTGTTCACGTCCCAAATGTCTACCCTCTGTGTCCCCGACTAAAATTGCGGACGTTCGCTGGCAGCTATGATCGTGCGCCGCCAATTCATTCCGGCGACGCCACGGAATCCATAGCTAGCCAGCGCTGCATCACCTTGTCGTAGGACCGTTCCCGCGGTCGCGTGCGACTGGCGCGGAACTGCAAGCGAAAGATACTGCCTTGAGCGCTTTGCGGATCAACATCTCCTTTCGCAACGCTTCTCTAGTATCCCGTCTCATCTGGCATTACGCGTATCGTCAGGCACAGTCCCTGCTGAGCTTTGTTTGGCCTTACTCTTAAGTTAACAACATGCAGGACCAGACTCGATACTTCAACAGCTGCTTTTACTATCTGATACACTCACACACAGTACATACCACACACGCGGGCTGACGCGGCCACAACACAGACTATACCACACGCCGCGCAACGCGCGCGCACACACACCGCACTGCACCACACACACACAACATGGACAGCTCCACACTAAGCCAGACGACACTGCGCGCGCCCG